AGCATTCCCCCTCCCTTCTTTCCAGATTGTCTCTCTTATTTTGTCCAAGGCAGCTTTACTAGGTGGCTAATTTACAGGGTGGCTAATTTACTACCACCAGATTTGGAGAGCTTATTTTGCATCAATGGTATTTCCCCAAATAGGTTATGCCTGCTAAATTCTGCCTAATACCTGATGTAGTATTAACAGGAGAGTACTCTGACTCTCTCAGCTCATAGGTAAAGGTAAAGGTAAAGGTTCCCTTGCTCGAAAGCCAGTCGAATCCGACTCTAGGGTTGCGGTGCTCATCTCCGTTTCAAAGCCGAAGAGCCAGCGCTGTCCGAAGACGTTTCTGTGGTCATGTGGCCGGCATGACTAAACACCAAGGTGCACGGAACACTGTTACCTTCCCACCGAAGTGGGAACTATTCATCTACTTGCAATTTCTTGCTTTCGAACTGCTAGGTTGGCAGGAGCTGGAACTAGAGATGGGAGCTCACTCCATCATGCGGCACCCGGGTCTCGAACTGCTGAACTACTGACCTTCCACAGCCTGCAGTTCAGCGTCTTAACCATTTGAGCCACCTCAGCTCCTCTCAGCTCATAGAGGAGTACTATTTCCTATTACATAATTGCCATAACTATAAATATATTATTTTATTTACATGTAATTTATTAGTCAGAGCCCAGATGGGGAAAAATTGAAAACTCATAGTTTTTCTTTCTGCAGGGCTGCCAAGAGCCACTATAGGCCCTCAGACAGATTCCACCTGCCCCTCCCCTTCTGACCCTGATCCAAACCAAATATTTTAACAAAACAAACAATCACTTGGCTTTCTGTTGAAGGGGACGGCCTCTGCAGGAGCTAAAAGAGAGGGCCAGAGTGAACCAGAGTGAATCCAGTTCTGGAAGCCATAATTCTTGCATCTGCATTTGGGCCGTGACACTTACAGTATAAGGATTATAGCACAAGACTTGTATTTTTAGCTGTATGAAAGGGGAGCAAGCACAGATGTTTCCCTCTTTTGCTTTGTGTTATCAGCTTACCTTTGCACAATATAGTGTCTGCGTAGTGCAAAACCAGGAAAATCTCAAGGACAGAAACAGAAGCAGACACTGTGCTTCACTTAAGAAGAAGAAGAAGAAAAAGAAGAGATTGGATTTATATCCCGCCCTTCACTACCCAAAGGTGTCTCAGAGTGGCTTACAAACTCCTTCCCCTTCCCCTCCCCACAACAGACACCCTGTGAGGTAGGTGGGGCTGAGAGAGCTCTGACAGAAACTGCTCTTTTTTCAAGAACAGCTCTTATCAGAACTATGGCTTGCCCAAGGTCACATCAGCAGGTGCAAATGGAGGAGTGGGGGAATCAAACCCGGTTCTCCCAGATTAGAGTCCGAGCACTTAACCACTACACCAAACTGGCTCTAATATCACAACATGTTTTGCTAAGAATGGTTTTTTAACATAAGGGTATATAAGACTGTCATACACTTTGTTCAGAGACACCCCACCCTTCAATATTTGGATAGTTGGGGGCTCTCCCACTTTAACATGAGACACCCCACCTTTCAATATTTGGATAGTTGGGGGCTCTCCTTGCAATCAGAAATAAACTTTTTTCCTTTGCATTTTACAAAGTTGCCTATGTGTCAATTTGTTATCAACCCCCAGTTGCTGAACTTTGTTGAATTTCCCCAACACTGTTATTGTGAATCTATAGTAATAAAAGAATTGGCATTTCTCTCCATGTTTGTTTATTTATTTATTTTATTTATATCCCACCTTCCTCCCCAATGAGGGCCCTAAGCTCTTACGTCATGTCATCCTCCTCTCCTCCATTTTATCCTCATGACAGTCCTGTGAGGCAGGTTAGGCTGAGAGCGTGTGAATGGCCCAAGTTCACCCAGTGAGTTTCCATGGCAGGGTGGGGATTTGAACTTGGATTTCCCAGTTCCTAGTCTGACACTTTAACCACTATCCCACACTGTCAGGCATCACAGAATAAAGCTAGGAGACTCAAAATTGGCCACCAGCTTCAGGATGATTGTGGGAGTTCCAGGGCCAAAATGTAAAGGCATGGGGAAATCCTGGCCCAAGTGAGACAAACCACCACCACACTGTGCAACTTGCAACTGAAGCTAAGGGTCTCTGTTTGTGGCAGGCATAACTCAGTAAATAATGCTACATGTTTGAAAATTGGCCACCAACCCCGGAATGAGGATGGAAGTTACAGTGCCAAAAATGAAGGGAACTGGAGCACCCTGAACAAGGTTATCTTCATAACAGACAACATGTAATAAGAGAGCTTTTAAGCAACCTGTCATGTTTCTCTAATACTCAGAACTCCAACTCGCCATGGAAGGTTGTTGGGTGATGCGCTCTTAGCCAGACATATTTCACAAGGCTGTTGTGAAGATAAAATGGAGGACAGGAGAACAATGCACCTTTCGGTCCCCACTGGGAAGAAAGACCGGGTATGGTATTTGTTATAAATCTAATTTTTCATGATTTTTTTTTCAA